TACTACTACGTACGTACTACTACTACGTACTACTACGTACTACTACTACTACTACTACTACTACTACTACTACTACTACTACTACTACTACTACTCTCTCTCTCTCTCTCTCTCTCTCTCTCTCTCTCTCTCTCTCTCTCTCTCTCTCTCTCTCTCTCTCTCTCTCTCTCTCTCTCTCTCTCTCTCTCTCTCACGATCAATCAAAACTGTTATAGCCAGTGTTGCAAATGTCACAACAGATCTGAACCAATAAACCATTCTTATAGTCGAATTTTCAGAAAGATCCTATGTAGTTCAGCTACATCAGCATGTGGCGCAAACTTAAAAAGAGTTGCTTCACCGAGAATTCTTACAATCAATAGACTACCACTAAATTTAAAAAACAATGAGGGTTCCTTTCCAATAATGTTCTAATATTTCATATGCCACAGCTATAGTGAAAAGTGAGTTCTATTCAGTAAATTATTCTAATAATGCAAAAACTACAACTAAATTTAACGAGAGGAAGGCATTTATAGCTCTTACCACATGGTGAAGATTAGACTCATTGTCCACAGCCTTCATTCCAGTAAGCAACTCGAGTAGCACGATCCCGTAACTATACACATCTGACTTTTCATTGAGGCGAGAGGTCCTTGCGTACTCCGGATCTATGTATCCTATAGTCCCCATCACATAGGTAGACGTGTGGGCTTTGGACCATAGTAAGCTCTTCGCTATTCCGAAGTCAGTTAGATGAGCCTCCATCTCACTGTCCAGCAAAATATTGGACGTCTTGACATCTCTATGTACTATACGAGGGTTGCAATCGTGGTGTAGGTAAGCCAAACCATGGGCTGCACCTAGTGCAATCTTTACACGTGTGACCCAGTCCAGCTTCTTCATCTTTGATGGCCCTGGTTAAAAGAGAGGATCTACTTTATAGTTCTTGTTGATATTTATTTTCTCCAAAGAGCTTTTTTCTCTGATAAAATGAACAAGAGATTGTCAAAAAAAGGTGGCTGAAATGACCGTCTAAATACCAAAGGTGCTCCAGAAATCCAAAACATGGAAATAATGCCCAGAGCAGTCGACTTCACATTGTGGTTCACATTTAGGACAAAAGGCCAGGTATACAATGATCCACAATACCATGGTGCGATCACAAGCGTCATTACAGTGCACCAAATGGATGAACTGTGATGGCTAGTGGAAGCCACCACACTACAACATGACCAATGTGCCAGGGCCGACACTTTATTCCTCATCCACCGTCCACTGATTAGAGTCCTTAGACAGTCATGACCATAGACTTTTTATGGTAAACCATATCAATATATGCATTGCCCCAGTGATCTGTAACTGAGGACTGCACTTTCAAGCAAAAAATGACATTCGTTCACAATGCACCCATGCATGTGGATTGAGAGAGAGACTTACCATGCAAAAGATCCCATAAGCTGCCATTCTCCATGTAGTCGTAGAAGAGCAGGTTGCCGCATGGGGAAAGAGAGTAACCCTGAAGACTGACCAGGTTTCGATGCTTTATGTTCCCAATGATTTCCAACTCTGTTTCGAACTCCTTCAAACTTTGAGGGAAGTGGGTGTATATCCTTTTAATTGCAACTGGCTTGCAGTTCTTGAGCACACATTTGTACACAGTGCTCGATGCACCATAACCAATAATGTACTTCTCACTTAGGTTCTCAGTCATCCTCATAATATCATCATACACATGAAGAGCCATGTTCATGTGGAGAATCACCAGCTTTGGAGCAGTAGTAACTGTAAATGTTATAAAAGATGCACATGATTCAAATAAAGTTCTTTCATCTGTGTGATTATTTTCTCTCTCATAGCTGAAGCATTTGAAGTCGGTCACTATTATTGGACTGAAATCTCATTGATTTTGGATAAAGTAACCAAAATTTAATGGATGTTGCAAACGGGGCTGAAATTGGCCTAAATGCAAATACTTCTGTGCAAAGAATGCCCCGATTATAGCCAAATTTCAGGAGAACCTTAAAATTTTATTCTCGCTTTGGATATTATAAGAACTCCAGCCAAGGAACATGAGGTGCCAAATTACTTTCTTTCTATGAAAAAAAAGTTTGAAGATTCATTATTTTGAATGTCATTTTATTCTATTCATGATCATGAAGGCACCATGAATATAAGGAATCACATGAAACAAACTTGGAGAAATAGCTTTTCTTTTTTTTTGAGAAATTTGGAGAAATAGCATTTCAACAGTTAGACTATTCTTGAAGTGTATACCTGGCTTACTCATTGATCCATCGGGGAAGGGAGCAGGTTTTTGTGGGCGGCACGCCAGAAGTAAGATTGTGAGAAGGGCGAGAAGAGACCCAAGTGAAATACCCAATATGGCCAACCTGGAGACGGAGGCTGTATATTACATGACAAAATATAATTTAGTTTCTTCCATATGCTTTGCTCTTAGTGGAATGATAAAAAATAAACTAGAGCAATTTAGGGTGAGCCTTTCAATTCAATAAGTATAATAAAAGAGCTAAAACAGAAGTGCAAAATTGTGAGCAGCAATGGAATTAGAAAGCCAAAACTCACAATCCTACTCGTGGAGAAATTGTGAAGAGTTATATGAACTGGAGAGACAGAAAAAGAGAGAGAGAGAGAGAGAGAGAGAGAGAGAGAGAGAGAGAGAGAGAGACGAGAGACGAGAGAGAGGGGGTTGTTACAGAGAGAGGGAGAGAGAGAGATCAATGGAAAATTAAATATATTTCATTGATAATAATGAGATCAAATATGAAGAGCCTTTATTGAGAAAAATGGTAGATAAGAGAGGTATGATTGTATCAAAAGGAAATTGCGTCTTACAAAAACCATCAGAATTGGTTGAATGCAACCACAAAAAATTGGTAAATGATTATACATTTGCACTTATGTTAGTACTTTCACCTTTTGGTCGGGAATGGTAAGGATGGCAAGGAGAACCAACCCAATATCCACAAAGACCAGGGTTACCTAAGAAGCTGCAATCAGAGGAGAGCTAGTAGATCAACTAATTAAGCAATTCCAATAATATCAACACAATTTAAGAAATTCTACAAACAAAATTTAGGCTCTTACCTCTCCGGAGGAAACCTCGAGAAGTTATTACCAACAGGAATGTCCCCAACCAGGTCATTATATGATACATTTCTGTTGGACAGAAGATTTGACAATGAGAAAAAGAATACAAAATATTAAATTTTTAACAGAACTGGCTAGGATTCAGAACGTTTATTTTGAAAGCAGACTAATTTGGAGGCCAAATTTCAGCTTTAACCTATTTATTTTAAATATAAGGAAAAGAAAGAGATGAAATGTGGAAAAGCCATCGGATATTGGTGATTTGAAATGGGGAGAGAATGTAGAAATAGGACTCGTAAGTTCATTTACAGGAAAGAAAGACTCAAACAATTGCTAAGCGAGGTGATGTCCCCAGTTAAGTTGTTGTACTCTACTCTCCTGCCAAAGAATACAATAGTATATTGGGATTAAATGTAGTCAGATGAGTGAAAAATTATAATGCTACAGATAAAAAGAGGTAGGAAACTTTCCTGTGCAGGTTACCAAGTGCAGAAAACACATCAAATTTAGGATACAGGCATTCATTGATGAAGTACTAAGAGGAGATTATATATATATATAGATATATATATATATATATATATATTTATATATGAGAGAGAGAGAGATCTTGTGTACAATAACACACGCATAAACACACTCACTCTTAACTGTTCCTTCCCAAATGGCTCCAAATGTATATATATATATATATATATAGAGAGAGAGAAGAGAGAGAGAGAATACTTCACTTCAATCTTCCAAGCTAAGCAGTGACTTTGATAGCAAATTTAACATGTAAAGGAACTCACAGAGAGATCAAGTCCTGCAGCTGACTGAGTTCTTGTGGGATCCGGCCAAAGAGGTCATTACTTGATACATCTCTGGAGAAGAAAGGGAAGGCTGATATTATAGTTCAATTCAGTACATTCATTGAAATACCATTCTAAAAATAAACATTCAAAAACCCCAGACCATGTTTAGGAATTTGAAACAACGGATCCTTACATATCCAGAACACTCCTTAGATTTCCAAACTCCAAGGGAATAAATCCAACCAACCGATTTCTACTCAAATTTCTGGAAAGCAAAGGTAAAATTCATTCAAAGAATTAGCAAAGGTGATCCTTCAGGATAAAAACATGGAATTTTGGAGTGCAAGACTTACAATTTGAGCAGGTGTTCCAAGTCACCAATCGACGATGGAATAGAACCACTGATTTTGTTGCTAGAGATGTCCCTGTAAAGTGTAAAGATGAGTAAACGAAGGAGAGAAGTGGAATACTTCCAGCGTCTAAAGACTTACAGGGTGTCCAGATTACTGATTCTGGACAACTCAATGGGAATAACACCCTTGAGGTTGTTCATTGACAGGTTCCTGTTTAAAATCCAACGAAAATAAACTACAATGTAAGCAAAAGAATTGCCAAAACTAAAACAATAATTAACGAGTAAAAAAAAAACAATGCATGAAAAACAGACATTGAGACATTCTTCACATTACTTTTCACCCAACAGTGCCGTCTATTCAAGTTACTGAAATAAGACAGGTTCTCAAAACTTCGGATCGGTCCAAATTATTTTACAAATTACCCAACTGCATGGACCACCACTCCAGGCTCAAACTGACTAATACTATTCCAGATCACTCCACCCCATGCTCCCTTTCTCTTGGATGGCTACTGTTGGGGACTAGAAACTTCAAGTAGCCACTGGCCCCTCCCTCCATCCCAGCCTCCCTGTGTGTGTGTGTGTGTGCAACATAGATGGTGGGAACCAGAACTTCAAAGCTGTTGCTTGTCCTGATTCTCAACCCCAAAGCGACTCCCTGCCCCCACCATCGGAAACCCCCCTACTTCAAGTACATCATAACCATCAATAGATTCTTTGGGTCTGGTGCGCACAAAGGAATCCTTTCTGTCATTTATTTCAATGCGCAGAGAGACTGGGGTTACAGGTACTCTCATGACTCGAATAAAATTACAAGTTTTTTGCGTCCTTAGCTAGAGTACTTAAGAAAATTTCTACTTTACCAATTTGAGCAGCCCATGCATAAGGAGATGTAAGGGATTTCAAACCAAATAAACATTATGTTCTATTATGGGAAGCAAATAGCGTATATTCCGGATTCATGAGAAGTTTTGGCAAAATTTTACATTGGCTGCCTACCTAACACAACATACCCCTTTTACCTAGGCTTGGGATGTGGGTTAAGGGAAAGTTTAAGGTCCTCACTCTTCTTAGACCAGTCATTTACAATCTTCACATTTCAAAAGAAATTACAAATCTTGTATAAATTATGAAAAATGCTTTACTTTCCACCAAAATTTCTGCTCATAACTCATGAATTAATTATTTATAGATTTTTAAGAGAAGTAGCTTATGCAACAATCCTTGATGTCAACAATAAAATTCACACGAGCAAGAACAACTCACAAGTATGTCATGCTCTCAAGCCTTTCAAATGCCGGAGGGATAGTTCCATTCAATCTATTGTTGTGCACATTGCTGCAAGGAAAACACTAATTCAGAAACACTGTGAAAACAGAGACTTAAAATACAAAACAGAGAACGAAAATGCAGACAAAGAGAAGTACAGTCAATATCTTACAGGCTATTAAGATTCACACAGGAGCTCAAATTTTCTGGAATGGGTCCTTCAAGATAATTATTTGCTAGATTTCTGCAAAATTTATCCATTACATGTTGGCATAAATGTAAAAAAATTCAATTCGACAACATTATGGACATATCTATCAATCGATTATAGTTATGATACACATGCATCACTCTTGGTACCCTTTTATTCAACCAGTCATGGAAAAAGAAAAAATGGATGGAAACAGAGTTAGAGGGAGCTTTAAATCAAACCTACAGGTCAAATAACTCCGTCAGCTTCCCAAGTTCAGATGGAATCTGCCCAGTTAGTTGATTATCGTTAAGTTCCCTGTGCATTAGTACATTAAATTAGCAATTAATCCCAAATTCCCATTGGTCAAAATTGAGGCAGATAATCAGTAGAAGTAAGGGTACACACAGATAGTGAAGCTTCGTCATGTTACCCAATTCTGGGGGAATAGGCCCCGTCAGCTTGTTTCCATGCAAATACCTGGATGTTCAAAGAATGGTGGCCCTTGTTAATTGCTTTCATTTTCCATATTCGCAAAACAGATTGATATTTGAAAAACCCAATGGTCAACTCAACTCACAAATAAGCCATCTTTTTTAACATGATTAGATAGCACACAGGTTCAACATAAATGAGATTTTCTGAGTAATGATCATATAGCTAGAATCAACTTGATTCAGAATTTTTTTTTGTTTGGAGTACGAAAAATTATTTCAGGCATTGCTTAGTCACACAAGAAAGGAAAAGAAAATAAGGCTTACTACTCTATGAAACATCAAAAGTCACAAGAAAGAAACCGTGTAATCCATAGTGAAAGGCACACCAAAAAAATTTCCAATATTTAATACAGAAGAAGCAAGTTAACGAACAAGCTCCTCGTATCAAGAAAAGGATGTGTAGAGTTTAACTTACAATTTTTCTGTATAAGTCAAATTGCCTAAAATTGGAGGAATCGGCCCACTCAAAAGGTTGCAGCTCAAATCTCTGCAACAAAATCATGGAAAAAGGAGTTGCATCTCAATTTTGAAAAAAAATGCTAGAGAAAATATATGAAATGATCCATATCGTTCACTCACCCTTTAGTATAATTTGCTTAACCCTTAATGATGGAGATAAAAAAAAAACTGTTGTTTTTATCATTCATTATTCAAGAACAACTCAACAGTCCAATTGTTTAATCCCTTCCATCCAAGGAGTTCGATTTGAATTTTGAAAGCGTGATTTGACAATACTTACAGTACAGCAAGTGCCTGCATCAATCCAATCACAGATGGAATTTTCCCACTCAACTGGTTTCCTTGCAAAGACCTAGATCAACAAAAAAAGGCAATTTAGTAAAAGACTCAGACCTAAACAGTCATATAGAAAAGAAGATCTATTTTGAGACTAATATAACTGCTCTATGCAGATTAAATATACTTTAGCACATACAATGTCGCAACTTGCAAAAAACCTATGTTGAATGGGATCTCTCCAGTGAGCTGATTGTAAGATAAGTCCCTGGAAGTTATAGAAACAATAGTTAAAATATCATATTTTTATTCCATGGCTATAACTAATGGCCAGCGAATATCAGAAATAATATGGAAGCATGAAAATGTACACAACAAGATACAAAAAAGAATCAAAAAATGAAAAAGAAAAAGCTAAGACTATACATTACATGGCTATTTTCAAAACAATAGGACAATTTGGATATTTAATTATTTATTTATTGGAAATAAAAACAAAGGTGTAGAAACAATGATTAGGAGATATATGAGCAATTAAGAAGACTCATTTAGTGTGCTGGAAGTTATCAAGCATAGCCAAGAGTTCAACATAACAGTGATATTTTTGTTGTTACCAAGAACAGAAAAAGATAATTTAGTCATTTCTAAAGAAATACAGGAAATGACAAAAAGGAAAATCTTGTAGTTCTCAAAAAGAAAAATTGAATAATTTGACAGTAAAGATTACAATAATTCCCATCACATGCTAACAAAATATGCAGTCATTGGTGCTCAAAAATATGGAATTTCCACATAGTACAGGTTTCTAAGAGATATTATTAGAATTCTTTACGGAGTGCATCGTAGTGTGCAACTACATTTCTTAGGCAGAGAAAAGGCACTGCAATAGATATATATCATTTACTGATCTATTCTGAAAGTTGATAACAACTCAGTCAATCAAAACAAAAAACCAGTCAAGATTGATTGTAAAAATATATATTTATATATACATACAGAACTTGAAACCCCGTACAGTTGCCAATGTTCTCAGGAATGCTCCCGGTCAAGCTATTATTCCTCACATCACTGCAAAAGAGAAGAATTATAAAATAGAAAGGTCAGAGTTTGCCCCATGAATTTGACCAGAAGCCCATAGAGATTAAGAACTTACAAATACCATAGACCAGTTAACTGGCATATGTCGGGAGAAAGAGTTCCAACAAAGTTGTTTCCTCGCAAACCCCTACATTGTGGAATAATGCACAAATAACCATCAATCTCCAGTTAGAAATGCAAAATCCACAAATATCTCTCTCGAGAGTAGCAAGCATAATTATTCAGATAGAAAAAAGGAAATGCAGAGATGAATTATAGAGGAGAAGAGGGAATAGTACAAGAATTGTAGCACTTCATTCCAGTATATGAGCCTTGGTATTTCTCCACTTAGATTATTTTGGGCCAGGTCCCTGGAAAAGTAATTAAGCTAAATTAGTCCCAAATAAATATGAATGATACTTGCAATCCATTAGGTTTCAATGTCCAGATTGTTCTGGATGCATGCCTTCAAACATACATACAATATTTTCAGATTTGGGAGCTGAGACAATGTTGAAGGTATGGGTCCCATCAACTGATTATTCTTGAGTATTCTGCAGATACAAATGAGCACGTCAGACTATTCAGAAACATTGCACATATTAGTAGAAAATCGTACTCCTGTATTTAAGAAAAAGTAAATGACTTACAGGTATTCCAACTGCTTTAATTTGGAGATGGAAAATGGAATATCCCCATAGATGTCATTGAAAGAAAGGTCTCTGAGACAGCACCAACAACAGTAATTAAAAGAGTTACATTTATGTTTAAGAACTAGAAACTGCAGTCTTCTTTTTTTTATGCTGTTAACTGTAGAAATTGCAGTCTTTACATGGAATTATTTCATGAATACTACCACCAGATGATGCATTGACAGAACCTACAAAAGATAAACATAAAAAGAATAGAAAATAAAAAGGAAAGAAAAAGTGAAAGTGTATAACAGCCTTAAACACAAAACCCTGGAACAAATCTATAATTTTTCTTGATAATTAGAATAAACATGGAATTAAAGAGGTTAAACAGTCAATATAGTGGATTTTGTCCATCTAAAATATTGTAAAAGAAATACCAGGTTCTATTGATATTGTTTAATTTTATCATCTATTTCACTATTGTACGCTAAAATACACACAAACAAGACTTAGACATTGACAAGGCATGTCAAATTTAATAAACTTTGATTTCATTATTCTTGACTTTACATTCTTATTGCTAAACCTGACAACCCTTCATAATGAAATGAACCTCACTATGTTATTAATTTTACATGTCCTTGATGGCATGCTGAGAGCGTGAATAAGATTAATAATCGCGCATATTGTAAGAAAATCAATACCCATAATACATGATGCAATATAATTTTCTACATTTCTTTCACAAGTCATTAGAACTTACAAACTTGTCAAAGAAGAACATCCACCAATCTCATCTGGAATCTGCCCCAACAAATGGTTTCCTCTCAGGTCACTGCACAAAGATACCAAAACATAAGAAGAATATAAATTTTAGGCAGGCAGAAAATCAGTAGCTGGGTTCAAATCAAAGCTCAAACAAACATCGAAGTTGAGAGATGTACATAGAGAGAAGGCCTTTCAAGTTTCCAATTGCCGGAGAAATTTCTCCATCAAGATTCAACCCCGAGAGATTGCTGCATTTATTAACGACAACTTAATTATACAGTTCAAGAACCAAGTACAAGCATGCATCATGGGGGAAAAAATTATGTCTATTTAAGACCTCAGTGTTTTGATTATTAGTTGATGGTTGTCTTAGATAAAAGAAATCAAAAGTGATCATCCTTTGAAATGGCTATAGTGGAGAATCAGGATAAGTGATTGATGAAATTATGGAATAAGCCTGGGAGCTTCCAGGAGTGGTAAGTGATTCAAAACTACTGAAAAAAAATTGGCCAACATTAATGCATACTTTAATTTATTTGCATTGAGATAAATAGTGGGTTTTCTAAGAGTGATTTAAGCCACCACAAACTTTAAAACTTGGCATGTAAAATGATGCAAAAGTACACTGTTTTATAATATTTTTATAGTTTTAGTTTTCGCATTAAATAATAGATTGTTAGGAAAATCCACAATAATTAGGGAACGATAATAGAGCTTTAAAGGAACAGCTCCTGATTCTCTACAAATAATGCCTCACAAGATAGTTCTCAGTACATAAGTTGCACACACGGTTCAGAGACAGGTTTAACACTCAGGTAACATAGATACCATACAGGTTAAGATCTCAGGATTCTCAGAAACATGAGCTGTGATGAATTTTCTCTGAGTGCAACAAAATGTATGGAAGGTTATACCTAGTTAGAGAGAAAAAGAGAGACTGCTGTAATAAAAAAGATGGAGATGATAATATTTACAGGGACACCACGTCAAAAGTCATATTGTCACAAGTAATTCCCCTCCATGAGCAGTATTCGGAAGATGAAGCCCCCGTCCAGTCATACAAGACATTGTCCACATCACGAAAGGCTTTCTTGATTTCCAAGAGTGTTGCCCCTGAGAAAACAGGCAATACTTCTCAGAAGTGTCCAATTGTTCATTATAATCGGTGATAAATTGAATATTTTCAATCAACTTAGACCTCTATCTCTCCCTCTTAATCAGTGATAAATTGAATATTTTCAATCAACTTGGACCTCTCTCTCTCTC